AGTTAACACTGTTAGTACTGTGTATTCAAGAATAGCAGCCTACAAAATGATTTAATGAAACTGCAGGAATACTGATAGCATCACATTTTTTTGATAACATTTATTTTGCAATTGTGCTAATGAAGAAAAAGTTTATTTTCCTATTGGAGGCAGGCACTGGCAGTGTTATTGGTGGCCTGAACTGAGGGAACAGGCCTGACTGCTGACAAAATTCTGTTTAAAGCACTAGTTTTAATCCCTCCCAATCCTTCCTGTTGTCCATGCACCTGTTACCACCACTGAGTGCAGACATAATAAGCTATTAATATACCGGTATTGGATTAATAGTTAATTGTAACTGTGGGCTCTTTGTAATGAAAAGCAGTTACAGCAAGTATGATGAACCAGTTGAACCTGATTTATTCAAACTTTTAGGGAAAAGCTTAAAGTAGGTCCCTGTATGAACTTAAATAATCTACCAACAATACTAGTAGCCTGTGATAATAACATTGTGTATAAGTGCTGGTCTACTACTGCATGGGCATCCTCCAAACCAAAGCTATGGCAGTCTCACCCAGCCCCTTCACTACCAAATCAAGTAATTCTAAACCAACACGCAATAATACTTACTGGAACGTAAATAGCCATTCCAAGCTAAAGATCTAGAGAGTGAGTCGCCTTTACAATAGATGTCTCTGTACCAGTTTTTAGTAAATCTGATGATAAAGCACATTTAAGGCATTTTTATAGACGCTGCTGTCAGTAGGTGTGGCCTACACGTCAATACACGTGTGTCAATTGTGCTGGCAGCTTTTGTGTTTGTTGAAGACTGCATGCGATATCATCCTTTGGAGACTTAACAATAATACTCAGCATCAGTCTCTGATCTATTGGAATGAATCTACTATTCAATAATCATGAACTCTTTATTAGGAGTTAGTTAGGAGCCATTTTACACACGTGGTAGCACCTGGGCCAAGTGGGCAGGGACTTTGTAGGCGTGGCTTGGCTTAAGGAATGTGGGGAGTGTAGAAGCTCAATGAAGTACATCAAGTAAATATGAACCAGTTACTGATAATTTACACACTGTGTATGTTAGGATCAGAAGCAACACTTAACTCCACCTCCTCCTGCTAAACCAGGACCAGAGAAAAGAAAGGTATGAATGTATTTTATGTTGTTTTATTACTATTATGCACTATAAGGCCACTCCAACTAAATTCGTAGTTTCTCCTTGCCGCCCGCTCCCCCTGCGCCAATATTTTAATTATTTGATTAAAATATTAAAAATAATAATAACGTAAAAATACGAGTCTTTTGAGGTTCTTTTCACTCTTTTTGAAGAATAACTGGGCTCTTCACTGCTCTCTAGTTCCATGTCCAGCTATTGCAATGGGACTTCCGGTCACATTAATTTAATGATATTCATTGGAATTACCATAGCAACGGCAGCTCAGCAATGGTGGATTGATAGGAAGCTTCACTACAAAGCCTGCTAACGTCTTTCTGGTTCATGGATGGGACTTCACTAGATACTTGGAGCTTCTTGAATGCTACTTAATGCAATTGGTTATGGTAGTTTTTTCATATTCTATTGTTAAAGTGGCAGGCGTGGCGCAAGAAGACTCATCCACTAACAAAAGGCCTTCTTGTTATTACTTTAAAAGGATCTAGAGACATGATTTGCTTGTATAGCTGTTAAGCACTCTTAGTTTTACTTTATTATTCCTATGAGAAGAAAAAAGCACTTGTTAACTCTTGTTGCTGCACCCGTTATCACTGAGACGACTAAAATTATTTCACCTTTAGAAGACTAAAGTACCGAACAAAGTTTTGAATTTCTTTATCTTTTTTTCATTATTGGGCAGTAAAAATGTTGTACTTTCACAAAATAAGTGCGCAATTTGTCAAAAATTGTTTGAAATTTAGATATAACCATTCAAAAAGTAAAAAATTATCATACATACATAAAGGAATGACAAAATGGCGGCACTGACTGCCTCATCTTTAATCTGTAAATGTTCCACACAAAGTTACTCCAAGTGCTGTCATATTTAGCAGGAACACAGGTATAATTATGGAGAACAGCTACTGAAGTGCGCAAATTGATGAGACTTATTCTGAAGAAAGATATAGCCTAGTAAATGGAAATGTCCATTCCTGCCCTGTATAAAGTCAACCAGTAGTATACGGAGATAATTGCTCAGTATACTAATCCGCGTCCACTCATTGCTGGACATGCTTTGATGAACAAGGAATCAGGTAAAGTTACTACTTTGTCGAAACTTTATTATTATTTTAATCAAAATTTTTAATGAAAATTGCACGTGTAAGGAGCAACTATGAATTTAATTGGAGTGGCCTTAATGTGTATAAAGTTTGAGTTGATTTTGATTAAAATTAGATTATTACGAATTTCTAAAGTTGCTCCAAAATCAGCTAAAATTTCTTGTACTATAGTACATGGTCTGCACAAGCTAAATTTCACTAAAAGAGAAAAGGGAGAGATTTCTCCTTTTTAATTACATTTCTGTACTTATTATGTTGTGTAGAAAGTTTGAGCTAATTCTGTTGGAATTTGGCTAAAAATCTTCGTTCTATATACACATGCATAGTACAAGATCACGAGCTTATTTTTTTTAATTGAAGAAAGAGAATATATGGTACTTATACATTTTCTAATTATCTGATGCACATACACATGTACATGTACTTGTGTTGTGTAGTAAATTTGAACTGATTATGCAAAATTGAATTTTTGGCAAGTTACTAAAAATTGGGCCAAATTTCACTAAAATTGAAAAGGAGAGAAATTTGTCTTGTTTCTTATTTTTACTACATGTATTTCAGTTGTTTAGAAAGTTTAAGCTCATTCCAATCAAAATTGGATTTTTTAATGATTTATTGAAGTTACTCTAAATTGGCTATAAGTCTGTATACATGTACATGGTAATGAGCTAAATTTTTGCTAAATTGAAAATAAAAGAAAATCCTGCATTTTATT